TTGTTGACGTATTTAATGCCTGTATATACTGTAAATAGTTATTGAAGTTATTGTCTATAGTTTTTCTGATATTATTTGTAACACTGTTTTTTTTTTTTACTTTTAGACAAAAACAGGGAAATGTGATATTTTGTTTGTGTTCTAACAAACAAATCTTGCTTGGAGTCACAGGGTGGAGCTAGCCACTAGTTAGCCAGAGAGGCCTGGAGTTCTGTACAGACAGACGTGAAGTGATATGGTTAGTCAGAGAGAGGTAGTGATAAAGCAGGAGGAAACAGGAGCTCAGTCTCTTAGATTGGGAAGTTGGGGAGGTAAGGTGTGGTTGTGGCTATTAAAACCTATTAGAAATTATACTACATAGGTTCTCTACATACCTGCTATAGTTGCTTAGCTTGGGGTATTTGTGGGCCTCCTGACTGTAGAAATCATGATATCTCTCACTCTTTCACCTATCCTTGGGACCCTTTTCCTCCTATTAGGCTACCTTGGCCGCCCTTCACGTGAGGATTTGTGTCTAGCCATATTACACCTTGCTATGCTGTGTTTGGTATCTGTGTGTTGTAGCTTCCAATTTGGGTGGAGACCCCTTCCTCAAACAAAGGACAAACCATTGGCCAGAGGTCAATATAGGTCACCCACCACAGACCTACCCCACTCTCTTGGTATCCCCTTCATACTATCCCCAAGTTCCCTCCCCTCTTCCCTTTTTTCAGTCAAACTTGGGGAGATACTCCTTGCTGGAACAAAGGCTAAATATACTGCAAGATTTCCAGGCCCCAACTTGGGGTGAGAACCATAGGTCACAGACAAGAAAACCAAAGAGCAAATAGAAACCAAGTAACAGAACATCCATCCAAGACAAACTGAGAAATCAACACCTAGGCCCACAAGCACCTCAAACCCAGATAACTGGACACCAGCATAAGAACAAAATCAACAACAGTAGAACAATGCATCATACCAGATTCCAGCTATCCTACTACTGCAGCAAGCCCTGAATATTCCAACACTTGAAGCACGATTAGCATAAGACCAACTTTATAAAGATGATAGAGGTCCTTAAAGAGGAAGTGAATGAATCCCTTAAAGAAAGGAGGGAAAGGATAAACAAAATATTGAAGAAAATTAACAAATCCCTTAGAGAAAGCAAACAAACAGTTGACAAAAATGAATGAATCTGTTCAAGACTTAGAAATGGAAATAGAAGCAATGTAAAAGAATGCAAGCTGAAGAAATTATGGAAATGAAAATCTAGGTAATTGAACAGGCTTATAGAGAGGCAACTTCACCAAAAGAATATTAGGCATGGAAAGGGAATTTCAGGCTTTGAAGGTATGATAAATGGATATATTAATCAGAAAATGTTAAATCTAAAAATTTCCTAGAGCATAACATCCAAGAAATCTGGAACACTATGAAGAGACCAAATCTAACAATAATAGGAATAGAAGGGGAAGAATCTCAGCTCAAAGGTCCAGAAAATATTTTTTTTTAAAAATCATAATAAAAAAGTTTCCTAACAGGAGAACACAGCCAAAGCACAGGGACCTTTGTGTGCACATTCCATTATACACTCAATGTCCTGTGCAGGGAACCCATTGCCTCCTAGTTGGGAAATTCTGAAGACACAGGTCACATTCACACAGTAATTGTTACCTTGCAGCTATTGTTAAAGAAAAACAGGCCACAAATTAGAAAACAATGAGGGGTCATTATAGGGCTTGGAGGCAGGAAAAGAGAATGTGAATATGATGTAGCTGTAATCTCAAAAATTATTGAAAAGTTGAAACAGTGCTCCAGAGACTAGGGATTTGTATTAGAGCACATCAAAGATTTCTCACCCCTTTTCTCTAAGGATGAACATCTTAAACCAGAAAAATAACAAACCTGTTAGGCAGGGCCACATCAATTTGCCCAGATCTTCTATTTTGGTTGAACTACTGTAACTATAGCAATTTGGATTCATGATGAGGTCAAACTTTTATCCAGCTTCTTGATTGTCCTGGTCTGTGAACCCCAAGAAATGGGCAATTAGGACATTTATGGATCATCTAAAATTAACTACATAATTCCACATTGATGATCTCAACTACTGTAAAGCAGGAATATTCTCACCCGCCTTCTAGATGGACCCTTTCTGCACTGTGACTCCACCAGTTTCATAGTTGGTCAATGAACTCAATTCTTGCCCAGGTCCCTCTTCATTTACAAGTTTCCAATAAGCCAGAGAAATTGGAGCTCACTCCTTAACTGATCTACTTTTCCTTTTCACTGACCAGTCAAGACCCAGTCTGGAAGGAGTTGCAGGACTGTCTTCCTAACAATGGGCAGCAGAGGCATCATTAGGTATTCAAAGCAATTCTCAATTACATAGCATGAGCAAACTTAAGCTACAGGAGACATTTCTCTACACAGAAGTCAATAATCACCATCACTTTAAAGAAAAGGGATGAAACTACTAATAACCTAGAAACACTGGAGAACAGAAACAAATAGATATAGGAGCAATAGTACAGTTATACTGTAAAATGATACCAATATGTGATTTTTAAAATAATATACATAATGTAATCTTAGATTTAAAAAATCAACTATATTGACTTTGAAAAAGAGTAGGCTCTTCCCTAGTAGCAGGAATGTCAATAATAAGATTACCTTGATCTTGTCCATATGTATATGTTGGTGGCTGAGATCTGTAACCTGACACACACAGTTACAGTCAATGGTCTGTTTTTTAAACCTCTTAGCTAGCATAACTGTGTCAACCAGTATTGAACATATCTACATAGAAGACTTACCTAGTTGCAAATACAATATTCATTGACTAAGATAACATTCCCAAACTGTACACTCACACAATCTAGTCTATGTTCATTCCCATGACATGAATTAAAACATGTTGGAAATTTACAAAAGCACTCCTGCTACCACAATCAGGTCTTTTTCCATAACAGTGACTCCAGCAGCTGATTCTCTACCCTGAATCCCCCTGCAGTGTACACAACAAACTATGCCTCCTATTTTGGTCTGAAAGCAGAAGCAATGCTCCACATGTGAACCTTTTTTCCTGTGACTGCATTGGATAGTCGACTACATGACTCAAATGGAAAATTTTAAAACTCTGAGGTGGTACAGTTTTTTAAGAATTTTGAAAGTATAACATAAAGAACAGCAAGGTCATTCTTCCAGACAGCAACAGACTGGAATTAAAGTCACCTGAGTCAACATAAGAGCATTTGTCTCAGAAACATATTTTCAAACAGGATGGAAATGCAGCTGTTCTAGAATTAATAGGCCTTCCCATTGAGAAATTACATCATACACTTAGGAGATTAATAGAAAAATCTCTTTAATGATGGTATGCATCCATCTCTGACTAAAGCTCAAATAGGAGCCAACTTTAGACAGATTTGGCATTCCACAAATGCCATAATCCTTAAGTGTCATTTAGGTTTGTGCTCCAGGTTACACTTTGAACAAATGAAATACAGACTGGCAACTTACAAGTCTAGCCATTTAGGCAGATGTGAGAGTTACACAACAAAGATGTTCCCAGAATAAATTTTTAAGTAAACCAATGACCTGAAACAGCAGGTTATTCTTCACTGGCAGGGTAAGCTGAAGGTCACAAGGGATGAGAAAGATAGGAAAAGTAAAGGGTAGAAAAGATAAAAGCTGGGATGGGGAGGTCTTAGACAAGCTGGGTCGCATGCATGCCATGCAAGCAACTTAAGAAGAATAGCATCTTGTACACTACTTCCAGGGGAGGGAATGCAAGGAAATGGAAGACTTCTATGAAGTCAGCAGATGCTATGATACAATGGGATGAACTCAAAAGGAAGCTAATCAAACAATGTTACACAAAAGGAACACAGGGTATCTCAAGAACATTATTGACTAAGCCCACAGTGGTCTTGGGACTGATAACCGTAGCTCCATAGGGTAGGAAGAGTTGGGTTCTCAAGATGTGAAGCAACTTCTCCACAAAGGCCCTGGCCCCAGACCATTACCATTGCTCCCAAGCATATTCCCGATTTTAAAGAAGGAGCTCGGTTTTATTGTCAATGCCAGGCCCTTAGGAAAAGCTCTCAAGGCGTAGGCCCCAGGCTGTTCCTAGCTCTTCCAAGAATGTTCCTCCTCCCTGCCTGAGGGCTTAAATGAAAGCCTTGAATAATCAGGCAACTCATATTGCCCACCTGGCAGAACTGCTTTTCTCAAGAAGAAACCTGGAACTTTATGGCTCACCAGGCCCTAAGCTTGGTTGTGACCCTGTAGTTCCTGCCTCCCTGAGCAGCTTGTTAGAGGCCTTTTCTCTGATATAGATTTGGGCTTAGAAGCTTGTTATAAATCAGAGGTGGCTCCTTTGTAATGTTTTGGAACCAAATGTCTGGAAAAACCTGGTGAACAAATGTATATCTTAGCATCCTAATCTCTAACAGGCCTGGTTAACATACACTTACCTTTGGGGTGTCTTAGAGGCAGTCCTCCCTCAGCTAAATTCCACTTTGTGAGACTCACTATCTCCTAAGCATTAGTAAATCCCTTACATCACCAGTTCTACTCCTCTACATCACGGCATAGAAATAGAGTGATACACAAAACATAAGTGACTTTTACAACCTCCAGAAAATTGACTATAAATGGAACTTACAAGTTAAATACAAAATGCTGAACGTCTAGAAGAAACTGGAGAAATTAGGCCTCTCTGAGTTTGGAAACCTGCTTTCCATGGGTGCACTAAAAGCATGTTGAAGCGGACTACAGAGATATTTCTACACACAGTTCCCTGTTCCCAGTGCTCTAAGCAGATTCAGCCCACAGAGCAAAGTTATTCTGAGGCCTGCATCTGGGTCCAAGGAGTTTCAAGGACCATATGAGCTCTCATAGGACAGGAAATCTGGCTGCAGGTTTCCAGTCAGATCTGGGTAGGACACACCACACAGGCTCCCGCACCTCACCATCTGCTCCTCTCCATCCGGGAACAGCAGCCCTTCACTCACCATGTTGTGGTTACCCAGTTCATCCATGCTCTCAGCTCAGCTATGTGTAGTAGCAATCTCCTCACAGCACACAGAAACGCTGGCACCAGCTCCTCTTCAAAGCCAGTCCTGAAGCCGGTGGCCGGAAGTGCCCTGCACCACTTCACTGGCAGGTCGTCTGGAGGGCCTGATTGGCTAGTGAGACTTGAGTGACAAGAGCACCTCCCATAGGGTTACAGTATGCTTAAAGACACAGCGCAATGATTCCTGAACCACCAAAGGCCTTTTCTAGATCTGCAAAGATGTGTATTTCACTAGCACTCCCTGGCTGCAATAGCAGACGCTGTTATCTTCCTGCATTCCATAGGGACTTCCCTTTCTTCCTCCTAGGCATAATGTGGCTAGCTAGCTTGCACAGCCCACAATACGATGTGGGGTACAGTGAGTCCCTGTTCCACAAGTGGAAGAATGCCCAGAATATTAACAATTAAACACAAAAGGAGATGTTCTGTAACTTCACGCTGAGATCAGATGAACTGAAGGTACTTTTTACCTGGTTGTCACGGGGACTTCAGGCAAATAGAAAAGGAAAGCAGGAAGCAGTTCACAAGCAAGATAATAGATCTTTCTCCCATCAGAAGTCCAGAAGATGACTCCATTGCTGTAGGAGCAAATTCTTGGCAAATGAACAATCATAAAGAGTAATCTTTTTGGAAAGTTGAATACTGCTGTGCCCAAGTCACGAGGATCCCCAAAGACAACCAAGAAGACAGACTCACAGATACAAATTCACATGGTTTATTGTTCTATAGTACTGGTGGAAGGTCTAGTAAACTGACTCAGCAGCCAGAGAGAGTGAGTTCCTTGTCTACTGTCAGGATTTTTAAAGGAAAAAATGAGAGGAAAGGTACAGGTCAGTTCCTAATTGATTGACATTTAGGGGAATTTTTCAAAGTCATATTTTGGCATGAAATACTCGTTTATTGGCTATTCTCATTGGCTGGCTATAAAGGGGAACAATCTCTAGTTTCTATGGTTTTGTCTTGTTACTTGCAGGTGTCCTGTTTTACATAGATACCAATAGTTTTCAGCAAGTAAGTATCCTGGAGACTAAAGGAGAGGTTTTGGTCCCTCCTGGAATTTCTTTGTAGCCAAACACAGTTTCCAGGAGCTAAGCCTCCTGGAGGCTAGTGAGGAAGGGTTTGGTTCTTCATATACTTAGAGAGTAATAGAGCTGGGGAGAGTATCTATGAGCACTATTGTGAGCCAGCACATCTTCCTCAGTGGGCAGGTGAATGAAATAACACAACTGCATTGTTCAAGGTTCTCTACATGACAAGGACTGGTAGAATGAATCTCGCCATGTATGTGGAAGGAGGGTTAAAATGTCTCACAAACTGTGGTCCAGGTAGTCCAACAATGGCTGCCTACCAAAGCTACAAGGGGAACCCTGTCTTAAAAAACAAAACAAAATATGAAGAAAGAAAGAGAGAAAGAAAGAAAGGAAGGAAATGAAAACTCACAGATGTACCCAACTATTTGGGTTTCAGTTAATTCCAGAAATAGTCAGTTTGACTACCAAGAATAGCCATTACAATAGCCAAGACAGAAAAAGTGAGAAAGATTTCTTATCTGCAGGATTCAAGGAGAGCATAGGAGTTATTTCCAAAAAAAAGTTTTTCCTAAACAAAGGAAGCATGTGGATTTTACTTAGGGAGTCTGGACACATTCACATATAAAGGTTTGCCTATTCCTAAGAATGCTCAGTTAATAAATCCACTTCTAAACATGATCACAATGTAGAGGCAAAGACATTTAGGGAGATTCTTATCTCAAAGTCATGCAGGAACATATGTACATTATAAAACTGATGGAAAGAAATGCCTCAGGTATGTTCACCTTGTACCACAATATCTTAGCTGAAAATCAAGTAAATGACACTGTGAACGTAGATTGCTTTGGAGCCTATGTTATCTGTCAGTCTTAATGTTTAATCTAAAGGACAGATTTACTAATACCACAGTTCTCACACATACAAAAGACAGACAACACAAATACAGAAAACTTCAAGGAAAAATCACCTAACAGCACTGCGTACTGTGCACTGTGTACACTTATATTAATGGTTATGATTATCTCTAGTAATCTCTGAACAAAGCTGCTTTTGCTTCCATGCAAGACCAAAAGTAGTTCATTTTAACTATCCCTGGCTTTCTGACTGTTTCAGGGCTGTGACATCACTGTATAGAATTCCATTCTTTTCTTTTTCTAACTTCTATTTTAAAATTAGTTAGATGGTGTTTTGCCTATGTGTGTTTGTGCACAGTACCTACAGAGGCCCAAAAAAGGCAGGAGATGCCTGGGACTGGAGTTACAGCAAATGGCTAGCTACTGTATGGGTTCTGGGAATGGAACCTGGGTCCTTTGTAACAGCACCCAGTGTTTCTCATTGCTGAGGAATCTGTCTAGCCCCTCTTTTTTATTTAAAATGTATTTCCATAAATTGTTAATTGAAAGATATTGCATCACTTTCCCCATTTCTTCATCCCATCCTTTCCCAAATCCCTTCCAACTTCTTCCTTGGTAAGAATTGGAGAATAAGTGTGCTGAAATACATGAATGCAACCTGCTGCATCTTTTTTTTTTTTTTTGGAGATACATATATGGTTAATAATGAGCTGACCAGGTTGTGTACCACCACTGTCTGTCCTCTGTGGCTATGGCCAGCTTTGTACTCTGATCTTCAGGTAAGCTTTATTTGTTGGATCATAAACAAAGTATTACCACAGGGCAGCATTGACGACTCCTCACAGCCCAAATTCTCATGAGGGTGAAATGCCCTCTGTGAAGATCCAAGATGGCTGGATGGAGTTCCTGCCTGGGGTCCCAGCACTACAGAGGCTGACAAAAGAGATGCAAGAATTTGAGGCCAGTCCCCATCTGGGACTCCAGTCTCAAAACAAAACAAAAACAAAAAGCAAAAAAAAAAAAAGCAGCAAAACAGGGTCACAGATGGGTTTTGGAGAGGGAACTTTGGTTTTCTGTTTTCCAATTCCAGTGCACTTGGCCAAGTTAACAAGCAATGGTGCTGTTTCTAGAAGTTTCCAGAGGCTACCAAGCTTTCTAGCCTACAGCTCACCATAGTAAAGTGAAAGTTACTGAGCCCAAAGAGCCTGTGTTTGGAATTTTAAGACAATCTCTTATAGCCCTTGTTGCTCTTCAGTTTAGTATGTACCAGAAGTTGCCCCTGAACACCTGGTAGGCTTCCCTTCTGCCTCCTCCTTGGAGGGCTTACTACAAGCATTTGCTACCAGCTCTACCCAGCTTCCCAAAGAACCGTTATGTGTTTTGTGGCTGCTGCTGTTTCTCAGGTTATGTGGTTTATAAGTGAAATCCTTTGTTCACATTAGGAAGTAAATCTGAGATGTATGCTGTGGCATGTTATAATCCCAATAGTAAGGAGGGTGAGGCAGGAAAATTAGATGTTCAAAACTAGTCTGACTTGGTGAACTTGAGGCCAACATAATTAAGAATGCCTTCTCTTGAGAGAGAAAGCAAGAGAGAGAGAAGAAATAGAGGGAGGAGGGGGAGTAGGGAGGGAGGAGGGAAGGAGGGAGGATGAAGACAGAAACTAAGCATGTTTTAAAAGTTTTTTTCTATGTTTTGAATGGTGACTATGTTTCTCTGTGATTATAAGTGCAGTTCCTGAGAGAGGCCAGAAGAGGACATGGGAGATCAAGAAGCTAGAGTCAGACAGCTTTGAGTCTGGAAACAGAACTCCAGTCCTATAGGAGAAATGATCCCATAACCACCAAACCATCGAATAAACAATGAAAAAAAACCCAAGCAGAGAACCTTTGACAATATTTTTATTCACTTAAAGGAATGCATGCTAGCAAATATCAGATAAAATATAGGACCCTACACTCAGAATTTTTCTTTGTTTTTGTGACAGGTTCTCATAATCCATGCTAGCCTCAAATTCATCTTTCTGCTTCAGCTTCCTAATTGAGATGGTTACTGCTATGTATCACCATTGGGTTGATCATTTTTTATTAAAAAAATATAATTGAGAAACCACTTCAATCCTTGCCTTGTTCTTCTGACACAATCTTTAATATGCATGGAATTTGGGAGAGAGGGAGAGAGAGAGAGACAGACAGACAGACAGACAGACAGACAGACAGAGACACAGAGAGAGACAGACACAGAGAGAGACAGACACAGAGAGGATAGAGAGAGAAAACCTTAAAACACAAAAGAAGTTACAATATACATACATTTTTATCTTCCACAATCTCTGTTTTATGAATAAATCAATCTTCTAGTTTTGTCCATATATTTTACTTCCATTTAGAAAACACTACAGATTTTACCTCAAAGTAAACGTTTATTTAGTCAGAAAATGGGTTTGTGGACATTGTGACAGAGAACTAATAAAATTGAATGAACCAACCCATTGTAATTATCACATGTAAATTACATATATATATGAGGGAGGCATATGTGTATTCCTCTTACACAAGTATTGTTTGCCCTTGACTTCAGTAACTCCTGTATGGTAATTTAAGAGCAATAAAACTATTCCTTTTTATACTTGATTCTACAACAACAGTTCCTCTTTCTGTAATGACAGTGTTGTCTGCTAAAAATTCTGCTGTTTCCTGTGGGCAACCAAATGATATTTTAATTTCTGGTACATTCCTTATTCCATCTGCTAAAATGGTACTCTGTCCTATCTACATAACCTACATACATAACCAATCCTATGTTCAAAACTTCTCATCCACAGCGCATTACTGTCTATTGCTGACTCAAATTTTAAAGCAATAGGTTTCAATTGTTGCAATAGAATTGTGATTGTTTTCATAGAGCAAACACAAATATGTTCTTTGGGAGAACCAGTAATAAACTACTTGAACATTTACCTGTAACTACTTGTTTATGAGTGAATAGTGTGACCTCTATGGACATGAAAAAATGTGTTCTCACTTAATTTTCCTAACAACTAGAGTATGGCTGGCTGGTTTAATATATATCAATTGATACAGTAATTGTTGAAATAATCAGTGATGAATAAATAAATAATGCCTCAGTTGTTACAGAGTTCCTGCCCAGACTTTGAAAGGTTTGAAGAATGTCTATCCAATTGA